ATCTCCAATCTACCAGAAAATGTCTTATCCCACTATAGTCAAGATTTTTCTAGAACTCCAGTTCATGAGAAGTGGCTCTTTCATTCTATAGTCAAATATTTTCCAGGGTGATACATACCTCCAATCCACCAGAGGCTGCTTAACCCCATTGAAGCGGACAGTACACTCCAGGCTGATATTTTCTCGGAAGTACACGTCAGGCCTCTCGTTGTGACAGACTGGGTGATCTGTGAGACGAAACAGTCACAGGATTGAAGATAGGCGAAAAAAGTTTACGCTTTCTACATCCAAACACATGTCGACTATTGCTCTATGGTGTGGGATGGCTGTGCCAAATCTAATGTTAAAAGACTAAGTTCCCTTCAAAATCGCACTTTACGCATGGTTTCCGATGGAAATTATCCAGACACAAATCATCTCTACAGCCATCTAAGAATTCTGCTATTGAGTAAAATTTTTAACAAAGCTAAATTTATTCATAAAATTGTATCTCAAAATACTCCAAACTACCTTTTCCAGTAGATTAAATCAAATCCTATGAAAAGCAAGAGGCTAAATTTATTACGTTTACCTAAACATAGAATAGATTTATTTAAAACAAGTTTAGCAAATTCTGCTGCTCATTTATGGAACCAGCTACCACTTGATCTGACAAATACAAAAAGTTTAAATTCATTCAACCGCAAACTTTTTCATTTCATGCTTACAAGTGATTATATGCCACCTTAAATGTAATTATTAATCCATTTTGCATTATCAGTTAATAATTAAAAAAGGTGTATATGATATGTATGTATGTGCGGCATGCACATGTGTGGTATGTATGTGTGTATGTGTAGGCGTGTTTTTGTGTATTTATGAGTGTGTGTATCAGTAATTGTATAAGGATTTGTGTGAGTGTGTTTTTGAGTGCCTGTATGTCTACATGTGCGTGTGACTGTGTGTTTCTGTGGGACTGTGTGTGATTATGTCTCTGTGTGGACGTGTCTGTGTGCGTATGCGTGTGTTTGTTTGTGTGTGCGTGCACCTTGTTGTGTTTGTGTGTGTGTCTATGTGTGTGTGAGAGTGTCTGCGTGAGTGTGCTCTGTGTGTGTGTCTATGTGTGTCTGTGGTGTAAATGTCTATGTGTGTGTCTGTTTGTATATGTCTGTGTGCGATTGTCTGTGTGTGTGTATGTATGCATGTGTGTCTACGTGTACATGTCTGCCTGTGCGTTTGAGTGTGCATCTCTGTGTATGTGTCTGTGTGTGTTTGTGTGTATGTGTGTGTTTGTGCATGTGCGTCTGTGTGTATGATTGTGTGTTCATGTCTACACGTGTATCTGTGTGTATGTGTATCTATCTGCATGTGTCAGTGAATGTTTTTGCGTGTCTGTGTGTTCTACGTGTATGTGGCTGTGTGTGTGTCTTTGTTGTGTTTGTGTGTGTATGTGTGTCGGCGTGAATGCCTGTGTATACGTGCGTCTCTGTGTGTATATATATCTGTGTATGTGTCTGTGTGTATATGTCTGTGTCTGTATTGTCTCTGGATGTGTCTACATGTGTGTATATGTGTATATGTGACTGTGTATATATATGTCTGCATATGTGTTTGCGTTTGTGTGTCTGTGGATGTGTTTCTGAGTGTGTCTGTGTGTATGTATGTCTGCATGTGTGTGTCTGTGGTTGTGTGTCTGTATCTGTATTTGTCTGCGTGAGCATCAGCGTGTACTTGCGATTGTGTTTAATGGTGTGTCTATGCGCGTGTATCTGCGTGTGTTTAGGTGTGTGTCTAAGTGTGTTTGTGCATGTATGTGTGTGAGTCTGCCTGCATCTGTGTCTGCAGGTTTTTGTGTGTGTCGCATGTGTGTGTCTGTGTGTGTGTGTATCTGTGTGTGTTTGTTTGTGTCTGTGTGCGTATGTTTGTTTGCGTGTGTGTTTGCGTTTGTTTCTATTGATGTGTCTGTGTGTGTATATGAGTATCTCTATGTATGTATGTATGTCTGTGGAATGTGCGTGTTTGTGTGGGTAGGTAAGTATGTATGTGAGTGTATGGGGCGTGTTTGTGTGTGTGAAGGTGTGTGGGGGTGTAGATATGCGTGTTTAAGTGAGTGGGTGGGCGTGTGTGTAGGTGTGTGTATGTCTATGTGTGTCTGTGGTGTATATGTCTATGTGTGTATGTCTGTGTGTATTTTCGGTGTGTATTTGTCTGTGTGTGCGTATGTATGCATGTGTGGCTAAGTGTGCATGTCTGCCTGTGCGTCTCTGTGTATGTGTCTGTGTGTGTTTGTTTGTGTGTATCTGTGTGTCTGCGTGTGTTTGTATTGTGTGACTGTGGGTGTCTGTCTATGTATGTGTGTCTGTGTGTGTTTGTTTTTGTGTATGTGTGTGTTTGTGCGTGTGCGTCTGCGTGTATGTCTGTGAGTATGTGTCTGCATGTGTATCTTCGTGTATGTGGCTACATGTGTATGTGCGTGTGTTTGCTCGTCTGTATGTTCTACGTGTATGTGGCTGTGTGTGTGTGCCTGTGTGTGTGTTTGTGTGTGTGTGTGTGTCTTTGTTGTGTTTATGTGTTTGTATGTGGCTGTGCCTGTATGTGTGTCTGCGTGAAGGCCTGTGTATATGCGCGTCTCTGTGTGTATATATCTGTGTATGTCTCTCTGTGTGTCTGTGTGAATATGTCTGTGTGTGTTTGTAGTGTCTCTGGGTGTGTCTACATATGTGTTTATGTGTGTCTGCGTGTGCCTGTGTGTGTGTGCCTGTGTATATGTATGTCTGCATATGTATTTGTGTTTGTGTGTCTGTGAGTGTGTGTCTGCGTTTATCTGTGTGTGTGCCTGTGTGTATAAATGTCTTTGTCAGCTTCTGCGTGTGTGTGTGTCTGTGGTTGTGTGTCTGTGTGTGTACATGTCTGCGTGAGCATCAGTATGTGTGTGTGTGTGTGTGCGTCATTGCGTGTGTGTTTTCGAGATTGTTTGTGTGCGTGTATCTGTGTCTATTTGTGCATATGTGTTATGTGGGTTTGTGTGTGTGTGTGTCTGTGTGTGTGTATCTGTGTGTGTGTATCTGTGTGTGTGATTGGGTCTGTACGTGTATGTCTGTTTATGTGTGTGTGTCTGCATTTGTTTCTATGTGTCTGTATGTGTGTGGAATGTGTGGGTAAATAGGTTTGTATGTGAGTGAATGGGGGTGTGTTTATGTGTGTGTGAAAATATGTGGGTGTGTTTAAGTGAGTGGGTGGGTGTGTGTGCGCTAGTGTGTGCATGCATTTTACCACCCATGCTTTTTGTGTTTTTTCTTTCTTTTTATATATTTTTTATATTCATAATAGGCATATTGTCATATGAATATAACATGCTTATTGATAAAATACAGCTGCAGTGTGAAAGACGCGTGTTTGGAAGGGCCGAATGTAAGACGGGCCTGCCTGCCCAATTTGTCACCCTTTGAAAATAAATTTCGTTCGTTCTTCTTAGCATTCATCAGTTGATAACTCCAGTGAAAAGTTTTGGCTCTCCTTTCACTTCTGGGCTTTAGTCGTGTTTCAGAAATTGAGTTTTGCGTGCACATTTGTTTTACAGATCTGTTTATCTGTTTGCAGCATCAACATGGGGATTAGAGAGTAAGTGAGAAGCATTTATCAATGACTCTTAATTTTACAGTTGCTGCTGCTGATGCTGTGCTACTACTATTGCTACTGCTTCTACTACTATTACTATTACTACTACTTTTACTACTCCTACTGCTACCACCACCACCAGTACTACTTCTACTATTACTACTACAGCTACTATTAATATTAGTACTACTATTACTACTACTAAGGCTCCCCTCCAAACTTCTACTCCATGATTACTATGGCGGCCAAACAAATACCCTAACAGGGTCTCAGTTCAATGCAAATTGCGGATTTCCTGCCGAGGAACAAATCACGGCAAAACTAGGATCGACTCCGAATAACGAAACAAATGCTCTAACAGGGTCTCAGCGATATGTTAATTGCGGACCTGTTTCTGCGACTATGCCGCATCGCCGACACTATTCCCCGCGCCGCTACGCGCGGCGCGGATGGGGAGCTTAACTAGATGGCTGGGACTCACGAGCAGCAGCTACAGCATCTCCTGCAACTTTCTCCAATTTATTTGTTCGTGATTCCAAGTCATCTAGTTTAGATCCCCAACCGTTCCGTGTGTAGCGGCGCGGGGGATACGCTTGGCGAAGAGTATAATCGGAAGAACACTATCGCTAATCTGCGTCGGAGCGCGTGGTCTTCCCGCCATCTCCATATTATCGTCTCTAATACTGCGTGTCTCGAAATTGTCAATGGTCGCTAGTATCGTCTGCTAGTATCGTCTGCAAAAATGCTCGAAATTGTCAACGGTCGCTATTATAGTCTGCAGTGTTGCGTCTCTTGAAATTGTCAAGTAATCCTAGTTTTGCCTCGATATGTTTTTCGCAGGGAGTCCGAATTTTACACACGACTGAGGCCCTGTTAGGGTATTTGTTCGGCCGCCATATTATGGGGTGGAAGTTCAGAGGAGAGCCCTACTACTACTACTATTACTACTATTATAGACTACTTCTACTACTAAAGTAGTAGTAGCAGTAGTAGTAGGACATCAGCAGCAACATTGCTAATGCTGCTACTATGGTGTTGGCTGCTGCTACTACTAGTATTGTTGTTGCTGTTTCTACTCTTACTGCCACTATTACAACTATAAGTCCTACTCCTACTACCAATAACACTGCTACGACTACAATTTCTACACTGTTATTGAACTGCTGCTATAAGTGCTACTAATACTGCTGTTGCTGCTACAACTGCTACTGCTGTTACTACTGCAGTAGCAGTGGCAGCACCACCACCACCCGTACTGCCACTCTCCTGTTGCTGTAGCTGGCACTATGATTAAAGGAGAGCTTATCTGGAGAGGAGTAGAGGCATAAGTAAATAACACTGATATGGTTGAACAGCATGCTGTACCAAAACATGTAATTGCTTTGCTGGAGTTGGCCCATTGTCTATGCTACATTGAAGGATAAAAATACAGAAAAGGACTTGCCCATAACCATAAGATTGGCACCCAGCGTGGGTCGCGTCAAATTGCTGCTACAGGCATACAATCCGGCGTCTGACAAGGACAGGTCGAAGACCCGGAGGTTGGGTCCTTGCAGGTCGTGGTACTTCTCTGGTTCAGGGGTCAAGGAGGAGAACTTCTGGTGGCCGTGGTGTGTGGAGGTCATCACCGTGGATACGGCGTCCATGTCCAGAGGACGGAATGTCCATGTGATTGTGTAAGCCTGGTCCACTGTAGATGTATAGTTACACATTGTTACATATATATATATATATATATATTATATATATATATATATATATATATATATATATATATATATATATATATATGTTTATGCAGGTTCATGAAATACACAGTCACATATAGTTACTGATATTTTTATATAGTTATATATAGATAGTGAAGTCTTCTTATATTTACATACTCATGATATAGTTATGTATATATGTATGTATGAATATATGTATGTATGTATGTAAATATGTGTGTGTGTGTGTGTGTGTGTGTGTGTATGTGTACATACGTGTAAAAGGATGGTGGGATCGGTTTAGCCTGTTATAATAATTGTGATTTGGCTACACCTGCGAACTAATACAGGTTTGCAGGTTAGAATACGGAAGTGGCCAGTAGGTCGAAAAGTTTATTTAAGACACAGCGTAGGAGAAAACGCGTTCCTTGGTCTCTGGCGGAAGAACGAGAAACATGTAGTCATGATTTTTCTTTGCAAGCGTAAAAGATTCTTAGCACAACGTAGATTCAGGGGGACTAAGTCGGGAGATGAACTGGCTTAATAGTTTCGTGTTGTGGCGGTAAGTTCAGTAGTTAGATTGAGTTAGATCTAAATTTCCATGATCATCCTTGTCGGAGATTTTGACTATGTGTCGCTGGAGGCGTACTCTTATCTTTGTTAGCTAGAGTAATTAACACATGGTCTGTTCGAACAGGTTGTTGACTGTTAATGTACTGTTATTTGCGAATCACGCTAATTTTGTGTTCAGGAAAATAAACAGCTGTTGAATGTGTTGTTGTTTTTTTTTTTAATTTGTCTGATTCAGAAAATGACTTGTAGTTCCTGCACTTGGTCTTGCTAGGCGCTGCCTACGTAGTTACATGTTGTAATTGTTGTGTAATTCAGTATTCACATATTCATCGCCTGAGCCATGAGTAAATAATTCATGGTTCCTGCAACAGAAGAACCCTTGCCTTTTTAATTATCCTGTGTTTTTGCAGTTCAGTGGGAAACGACTTATTGTCCTAAATACATTTCTTTCCTCGTCTCGCTACTTGTTTATTTCTTGTTCGCTTCCTGATAGCTCACACATACATATTCGTTAGCTACCAGAGCTTCATATAGGTACTGATCCCTTCGTATCGTTACATATAGGTATAGACTTGTTCATATAGTTACACATAAATACATAAAGGTATAGTCATATTGGTATAGTTACACATAGTGAATATAGTTATAGACATGATCATAAAGTTACATATAGTTGCTGACACAGTTGTATTGTCACACACAGTTATAGCTAGGTGTAGACGTGTTTGTATAGTTATACATAGTTACATATAGGTACAAGCACCGTTGAATAGTTTATATATATATATATATATATATATATATATATATATATATATATATATATATATATATATATATATATATATATATTGTTGCACCTATATATATATATATATATTATATATATATATATATATATATATATATATATATATATATATATATATATATATATATATATAGTTGAAAATAGGTGCATGTATTTTCCGTATGATACATACATATAGTAGTTACATATAGGTTTTGACAAGCGAGAAATAGGAACATTCAGTCAGCAATGACAAGCTATGTTTTAAAAAGAGAAGGAGGAAGGCAACGCGAAAGGATATTTGATAGTCCTTGTCTTCATAGCATGGAGCAGTGTCAGCAATTGAACTGATACATGTTGTTTAAGATGCCAGGTTGTGGAGAAGCATGATCGCCTGCGCCAATGGGCAAGATACTTGATGAGTAGTAGTAGTGGTGATAGAGGAAGAAGAAGAAAGAAGAAGAAGAAGAAGAAGAAGAAGAAGAAGAGAAGAAAGAAGAAGAAGAAGAAGAAAGAAGAAGAAGAAGAAGAAGAAGAAGAAAGAAGAAGAAGAAGAAGAAGAAGAGACAGAAGAAAGAAGAAGAAGAAGAAGAAGAAGAAGAAGAAGAAGAAGAAGAAGAAGAAGAAAGACTGAAGAAGAAGAAGAAGAAGAAGAAAGAAGAAGAAGAAGAAGAAGAAGAAGAAGAAGAAGAAGAAGAAGAAGAAGAAGAAGAAGAAGAAGAAGAAGAAGAAAGAAAAGACGAAGAAGAAGAAAAAGAAGAAGAGAAGAAGAAGAAAGAAGAAGAAAAGAAAAGAAGAAGAAGAATAAGAAGAAGAAGAAGAAGAAAGAAGAAGAAGAAGAAGAAGATTCGCCAATCCTGAATGTTGCTTGTGTATATGTGGCAGCGAAGTTTATTGTGCCCTCGTCTAAAGTATAGAATAATGACTTGATATGGCCTGTCCATAATATAGTAATCGTCTTGTGACGGGTTTTGGTGGCTTTCTGATTGATTAGAAAATTCTTTCCTTCTGCTGATAAGAAACAGGTACGTCAGGTTGTTCTTTAATTGCTCTTCCTTAACTAGTTTATAAGCTCTCTAATTTTCACGAACTCCACAGTTGGATTGTGTCCACTGCATAGTTATCTTACACCGGCTGTGTAATACATCAAAGAAGGAAATGACACAGAAGTAATGTTAGAACTTTAATATAAGAAAAGTAAGTAAAGGTCCCTTTTCTACGCCTTTATGTGTATAGGGCATATAGGGCTAGACCTATTTTTTTATAGACCAATCGGCACAAGATGGGTCATGTAGTCAGCATCACTCCGGCCGCCTTTACTTCCCGGGACTGCACCCGGTACCCACTCAAGGCTGGGTCGGCCTTGGGGTCTAATAAAAGTGCCATGACAAAAAATCAAGAGTAGAACCAGCAAGCTTCACATAATCACAAACACAAACAATAAGTGAACGTTGCATCTAAAGAGCCTTTATCAACACATTACATGAACATAGGTTAGTTGCGTATCCTTTACGTTGCAGAACCAACCCCAACAGGTCCTGGCTGTTGTGTTTTTATTTCTAGGCAAATTTACGTCCAGTAGTTTGCCATTGCATCCTGGACGGTCGGCTTTCTTGATACCACTGTCAAAACCAACGCAAGGCGCATGGCCCGCAGCTGGGATCGAACCCGGCATCCCGGCATTACGAAGCGTTCACATCGACTTAGCCGACTTACATGAACATAGAATATCATAAATTCAAACAAGAACACTCACAAGGACTTTACTGACACAGAGTACGATATAGAACATTACAGTACATTTAAACAAGGCAAGGGTTTACGTATTTTTTGAATTTTGCCAACAAAAAAATTTCTAAATATTGTAAATAGATACCCATACATTTCTCTGTTTAAGTTTTTAATTTTTTTTTTTTTACACTTTTTATTTTTTCAACTTATGAACTTTATTTACCATTTAGCGCACATTATTACAGTACATTTAAACAAGGCGTAGTCTTTTGAAGCTTGCCAACAAAAAAATTTAATTGGATAATGGCACCCCCCCCCCTTCCCCCCCCCCTTTTCCCAACCCGAATCCCCCATATTAGACATAAAGCATGCATCGGGTTTGGGGATACTGTCCCCCATTCATTTAGTAGACCAAGCGGAGCTTCCAGAAGATGAGGGTCAGTAGATAAGACTAGCAAGCATGTACAACGCAACTAATTGACTGACTGACGTTCCATTCCCACCATGACATCACATAAGCGATAAACACCCGATGACGCAAAGTGCCACCATGTGGATGAGGGTCGCCGTGGAGTGGTCCCAGAAACCGCGTTCAGGCAATTGACCATATTTATGGCCTGCCTATATTGCGGCCCCTGGCAAAAGCCAGAGTGGGGCTTCAAATAACAAAAAAATTTGTTCTAAAAAGGACAAAACTGGATATAGCTAATGCAACTAATTATGGGTGTTTCCTTCGAGGTCAGAGCGCGTCAGCCTGAGACGTGAGCACCTAAAAGTGTGCATACAAATAAGCCATTTCTGTAAATATAAGCATTCAAAACTTAAATTAGAGCAAGAGCGACGTCACAAATAAATCACTGGGAGTTGAGCTTCTCACAATTTTCTGGAGGCTTTAGGTCCTCACGGGGTTTGAGACTTCTAAGTTCTTGTTTAGCGAACAAAGGACCCTTTTCTATGCCTTTAGACATACTAGGCATGTAGGGTATGCCTACATTTTATAGACCAAATGGCACTCGTTAGTTGATGTGGTCGACATCACATCGGCCGTGTTTACTTTCCAGGACTTTATCTAGTACCCAATTATGGCTGGGTCAATCTGGAAGCCAATGTCATTTTTGTTTTCACCAAAAAAAAAAAAAACATAAGCACTGTCAGGAACTGAATCAACAACCTTCGGATCCTCAGTGGAGCGTCTAGCCGCTACACGATGCTGGCTCCTGCATAAGGCTTATTGGTCCTATTCACTTTTCCCGTCCCATCTACACACTTTCTCAGCCTGGTCTAGGTCAGAAAGGTGTCAGGTTGTACTGTTTTCTTCGAATAGAGTCTCTCGTGGGACGTAGGCTCCTGGTGTGGGCAGGGGGGTTTGGGTTAGGGCCAGTTCTAGATAATCTGGGGTCGTTAAAATCTGTGTCGTCGTGTAGTATAGAACGCGATAGATACATCGGTGCTGATGTAATTGGAGGCCAGACAATGTGACACCCCTCTGACGCAGAACCGTCTGAGAAAGCAAGAAGGAAAAGTCAGTGTGGAGATGGGCCGGAAAACGTGAATAGGACCAGTATATTCATTAATTATTATTATTATTATTATTATTATTATTATTATTATTATTATTATTATTATTATTATTATTATTATTATTATTATTATTAAATACATTTGAAATAATCTAGAATGGAAAAAAATATTTTAAAAAAAGCTGGCCTATATATGCTGACGAGAATCATTTAGGCCTCTGGCAAATGTTCTGGGGTTGGGAATTAAGTAACAGCTTAGCCTCGCTAAACATTGGGTGGGTGAGGTGTTCAAGTAAGCCTGCCATGTTCCGGCGAATCTGCCTCACAATCCGAATCGATAGGTGGAGTTGAAGCTCTTTCTCTCTCAGATGGATAACCTGCAGTGATCA